AATGACCAGCGTGAAGCCATGGCCCATGGTACCAAAGATAATGTAATCAACTAATTCATATCAGCATTCAGCAATAAGCCACTAGGAACAGACATGCACAAAGCGATATCATAGAAAAAAATACAAATAGTGAACGAGCGATTGAGCACCATGATACCACAGTGCACAATATGATTCCTGCTAACATAAGCATTCTAATATAATGATAAATTCAAGTTTCAAGTCATAAAATTTAGCCATTTAGTTCAAAGTTGATCTACAGTAGCTACTATACCCAAGTTACAGGATTAGCTGAGCCATATCCGAAAAGGGAAAAATATTGAAAGAAGAAAACGAGGTATACTCACTACATTTAAATTGTGGCGACTACACTCAAGGAGTATGCATATATCATTTATGGCACGATCTACAACAGACTGATCTGCACAGACAATAGAAGTACCTTAGTAAGAAAAGTTACAATTAGTTTCCGATGAAATTAAAAGAGAAAACAACAGAAGTGGAGAGATTCGAGGATAATCATTAATAAAAATTGTCTACTGCATTTATAAAACCAGGTCAATAGTATTTCTAGGGAAAGAGAGACAGCTGGAACTCTAAATGAGTGTGCACTCCAATATTGGAGAAGTGAATGATTCAGTTACCAGACTGGTGGTAGAAGCATCTTTGAATAAAATATATTAGTAAAAACTGTAGCAAGCCTCAGCAATTCTATAATAATTTTTCATACTGGAAGCACACCTGAAAATAAAGATGGATAAGTATAATATATATCTCGTTTTGACGCATGTTTGTTTTTCTTGTAGAAGCTGCTGAACTATTAGCAACACCCTTAGCAAAATATCTGGCGGAAAAGTGAAAGTAAAATAGATGAATGGAATATGAAGCATAGTATAATAATGGTAACAAAACATCTGTAAGCAATAAGACTATATGTTTGTGTTCTGAGAATGGAAGTTACCTATCCTATGAGCATGTGGTTGCCTTCGCAAGGTAAGTACCTCTGTTCCTACTGGCAAACTGGAGCTGCATAAACTGCATACAGCAGTAGAATAACATAAACATGAAAGTATCTTGAAAAATGCACATCCTCCACCCCGTAAAATATTTAGTTTGGAATAACAGTTAGTTAAGTGATTCCAAGAGCATATAATTGACAACTATTTTTTAAGATACCATGAAACTTGAAAAGATCTTAATAATTCTTGATATAGAGAGAACCCTAAATCAGCTTCCAATTCATTAGATATAATACATAATTTCCAGCTTCAGTCGTGTTCAAAACCACAATGCCAGAACTTATGTTACAAAGAGCTTGTTCAGAACGTGGTTCTACTCATAACATGGAGCTTCAGTTGCTCCCATAATCTCAGTTTCCAGAGAGAAACAATAGAAAATATAATTTTGCTACAGAGTATTTACTAGGTAAGACCACAAAGAAAAATTTACAAGTAAATCGCTGCATAACTTTCAAATTGAGAAAAAATAAAAAAAATCTTCATCGGCCTTATATTTACTCGTGTATACGACATAAAATTTCCATTGTTTCTAAAATTAAATCATATACGGAGTATTAATTAATTTATGAAGTCAAAATCAATATTATACTTGTAACACAGATTTAAAATCAAAATTGCATTAGCAATGTCCAATCAAGTTGCAAAAATGTCAATGTATCCTTAAAAGGAAAAATAAGTTATGTCTTCAGCATTATAACACGAAACATGAATCTCCGAAGGAAGGCATTTATTTACATGGATATCAACTCAACTATCAATTACATGTACTTTCTAAATCAACATATAACTGAAAAATATTTCGAAGATCATACAAGAATGAACAACACACTTAAAAAAAAAAAAAAAAAAAAAAAAAAAAAAAAAAAAAAAAAAAAAAAACCGAACCAAATCCATTAGCATACCTAATCAAGTTGCACTATGTGAAACTTTCATGAATATAAGCATAACCTCAAACTTCCAAATTGTGTCTAAATAACTAATCTCGGAAAACACGAGTAATACGAAATCCATGTTTAAACAAGTTAACAAGCTGCATTTTGTCAACTTCTCTATAAATCCAAATCATATACTCGTATCTAGCATAAACATCCAAATTGCAAGCACCAATTCATACAAGTATAAACTCAATCATCAACAACATATACTTCTACTTCCACGAAGTTTGAAATCTAAATTGAAAATTATAGGACGAAATTCAGAAGTTGTACCAATTTTCAGCAGAATTCGTGCAGTAAGTTCTGAATTTATTGATCAAAACCACTGGAGATCGGCCATTGCAAATATCTACGAGA